TAACTGCATTATTTAATGTAATAATAATCGGTCAATTAACTAAGGTTTTTAGTTGAGATAAAATTTGAAAAATATCAAAAAGGAGGGAAAATTCAAAAAGGTGGGGTTGAGATAGGAAGTTAGTGTCCGAGCGGATCGACGTCACAATAGCTCAAGTGGTAGAGTAGCTGCGCATCTAGCCGAAGGTCGTGGGTTCGAATCCCGCTCGTGACACTGACTTTTTTATCTCAACTAAAAACCTTAGGTAATTGAAAGATATTAATTAGTCAAGCGGACCACGAAAACTACTGAATGTATCAATAATCGTAATACATTTTGAGTAACGATGTGTATTTTTCATACATGTGGTTAACTGTCCAACATACTGCAGAATTTATTATCGCAGTTTATCTCTCTCTACATATTCAAATGATCCTTTTTCGATGATTTTTCTTTCTATTTTATTGGATTTCTACTCGATATTGAGACGATCTGCATATAAAGGGGAGGTCGAGGACATAAGACGAAATACGAAATATGAACCTACGACCTTCGGCTTGATACGCCGCTACTCTACCACTTGAGCTATCGTGACTTCGATCCTCTAGGGCACTAACTTCCCTTGAAACATGGCAAAAAGGAGGAACAATTCAAAAGGTGGGGTTGAGAAGAAAAGTTGGTGCCTGAGTGGATCGAAGTCACGATAGCTCAAGTGGTAGAGCAACGGCGTATCAAGCCGAAGGTCGTGGGTTCGCATCCCGCTCGTGACACTGACTTTTTATCTCAATTACAAACCTTAATTAATATTCGTATTTTTATTGTAATAGCATATAAAATCACTAAAACAGTACAATCACTTTCAATTCACAAAAGCAAAGCGTTGAACACCATTAGCAACAAGTGAACCATTCTAGAAGTGAGAACGTAAATATGGACAATCCGTTGGTGCTTAGATTTTGTAAAAATCGATCATTCTCAAAAATGACATTTTTGGAAGTAAAAGGGAACATTTCTCGAATATTCCAATAGGCATGAGAGAAAGAGAGAGTTATTTTACTCCCGTAAACAAGTATTAGCTACGGAGATACAATAGAATAGGATTTTTCTGAAAATACTTCACGTAACGAGAAAAAATCTCAAAAATTTAAAAACGGTGTTATTTTCCCTTCTGCTCAAAAGGGTCCTAATAATTCTTTCAGTGTGATTTATAAAACCCTCCATCTGTCTGGGTAAAACTATCGAGAACACTCCTGCAAAGTTGGATAAATTTTGATTGGACAGTTAAAATAGAAAATGTCATTTTCTAATCTATAATAACTAAATGTATTACAGTACATTAAAATTATAACAGTTATATGATTAGACAGAAAAAGTAAAATATAGACATCTTACAATATTTACAAAAGTCCGACTTGAGAAATTAAATTAATCATGTCTTGGCTAAAAAAAAATAATTTAACCTCTGATTCTCTGAAACTAATTTTTCCCTTGTATTAGTTGAGTAGGATATAATGATAAATTCCAGTAAATAGACGAAAATAATCATCCAAGAAGCTATCTGAGATCGTTAAAAATAAATTTTTATATGGTTAATCCTAAATCCCACCCTAATCCCTGGTACGTCGGTATCGATCTGGTCACATGGCATTTACGGTTGGAACGAATTTATGGGCAGATTAATGTTAATCTTACCGCACTCTAAAATACCGCCGTTATCAAAAATTTATAATGGTGGAAATAGGAATAGAAAGAATTTAGATTATATTTGCGATGGAGGTTTAAAAACAAAACTCAGACACGGCTAGAGATGGGAGTTGAATCTTAATTAAATACAAAACATTAAAAAAGAAAGAAAAAGATAAATAGATGGGTGGATGTACAGGTGGATGGCTGGATTGATGGATGGATTGTTGTATGGATAAATGAATATATAGATAGATAAAAGGAAAACAAAGATAGATATATTGATTGATTGAAATACATAAACAGTTAGATAATTGATATAAAATATCTATCTATTTCTAGCCAATTTCGCTTCCAACCTTTGTCAAATATCAAAGAAAACAGCCAAAAGGAAAAACATAAAATTTTGCTGACATGACTTCTTGATGTTCGCCTGAGTGAGTTACGTATTTTTTGTAAACGTACAAATAACTCTGTTAACTCTCAAACATTTTGATAATATATTGGTCGAACGAAGAGCCCAAAAGGAGAAATTGGTTTACCCCCAAGTTACAGGTGAGCTTGATAATATCTAGTAATAGTCTAAAGCTTTCTGTGTTTGGAAAAGGCCTTTTTACTATTAGTTTCGTTCTCCTATCTGACCCAAATTCACGCCTATTCAAAGGCCCAACAGCAAAGGTCAAAGCTGGCAGTTGATAAAAACCGTCCAGGATTAACCGATCCGCCACATCACTTATACATCGCCGGGCCGGAATCAGCCAATTCGCAGCATTGGAATGTTGAACGGGGAAAAATTAAAATTAGTTTGGGTGAAACTAATTCATATAAGATGTTTTCATATCTTATTTACTGTTTATTTGTCAGTCAATTAGTTTTGTTTTATCTAACTGTTTAAGTGTAAAATGTTTTTTATATCTTTTTAAAACTGATCCTTATAAAAATTACATAATTCAACATATTTTATCAATAAATTGTAACGCTATTTTAATTTCATTATTTATTCTATTCTTCTACTTCCAACTCAACTTACTTCTGACAGATTTTCATATTTATATTTCTGTTTGTTGTATCTAAACCATTTTTAAGTTTAACCAGGCTTCACTTAGTGAAATATAAATGTATTCTTTAATGTATTCAACGAAAGAAACATCAACTGTCTTTAAGTTAAAGCAGGGGGCCGAGGTAGTCGAGTGGTTAAGGCGTCAGACTCTCGGCTAGTAGATCCCGCGGTCGTGGGTTCGATCCCCACCGTCGCCTCTGGACTTTATGTGTGTTTATGCTTCCTTCAAAATGTTTTTCTATCCATATCTCCATACCGATATATCACGATTTATACCGACGTATGTTTCTGTATTTTCAGCAGAATTGTTATCGGGAAGATTTTGTTGATTTTTCTTCCGGTGGCATTATCTTTTGTAATGACCTGGTTCTAATAGGTTATGACCCTTTTTCATTTCTTACTTTAATGCTTATTTCTGTGGTGTTGCTTGATGGACAGTTGTTTATTTAGTTGGAAGTGATCTTATCTGTACTTTAAATCTCAAACACCGCATCGCTTTTATTTTACTCGTCTGTGCATATTGTAGCACTGCACCCAAGGCCTAATCAGTAAATGCTTGGGAAGGACACTATCAGCACAAAAACGAGGTCTTGTTATCTGGTATATCTGCTATCAGTAGGTTATGAACCTGACGTTCACATTTGCCAAGGTTTTGCAATCGTAACTCTGCCGTTCCGTGAATCCGGGACAGCCAAAATCAGTTGAGATGGAGTTAGAGTCCGTGAACAGTCAATGTCATATGAAATGAACTGGAGCATGGAGGAAGCACAGTGGACTCAGATACTATGACTTTGGGTCAGAAATTTAAGAACGACCCAGAAGCAGACACGTGGGTCAGTGTGGAGACAGATGCAGTGACCTTGAGTCAGGCAATGTCAAATTCCTCAAAGGTGGAGTCAGATGAGTGAACGTGAGTCAGTGTCAGTTGAGTTAGAATCAGATACAGAACCCGAGAATCTGGTACAGTGACAAAGTCAATAGATATGGAGTCAAAGTTCAGAGGAACAAGAACAGACATGACCGCCTTCCAGACCTACAACCTGCTCAAACTTTCCTTCCAGCATGAAGGGCTTCACTGAGCAATAAACCATATTGAAAGCGTTTTCTCGTGTAAGACCGCTCTTCCTCTTTGAGGGAGATATCCCTGGTTTTGTTATTATTCCTTCCTCATGATTGCACTGCTGGCTGTCTCTATTGTACTGCGCAAAATCCAGTTTCTGAGATACTACTGGCAATTCGACCTTTTTACTCCCGTATTTGATAAATGATAAATAAATGATAAATTTACTTTATTAAATCAGCAAATAAAAATAATCTTGTTCAAAATCACTACAAGGTAAGACAATGTACATTGGGCAATGGTTTATCACGGTCTGCCGTAGAACGGACAACTTTTAAATATAATCTCAACAATAAAATTTGTGATTTCAAACAAAATGAAAAATAAAAAATGTCCAGGAAGACTCTCGATTTAACCCTAATCACTGCTTCTGTCTACTTCTCTCCATGGGATCTCGAGTCAGGAGTCAGAGGTTCAAAGATCCTCTGGCTATTATTTTGATCGTATTTTATGGAGTTAATTGCCCTAACCCTCTAAGTTATGGTAATTAAGGCCACCTGGAACATGATATTATTTTATATGGTGATCCATATGATGTAACACATGGCTTTTATCAAATATAGCATTTTTATGATATATTACATCAATTATAATTAACATTTTAATTGTTCTGATTATAAATTAAATTTAGAAGTCTCCGCATCATTAAATAAAGTTCAATTAATTAAGGTTTTTAGTCGAGATAAAAAAGTCAGTGTCACGAGCGGGATTCGAACCCACGACCTTCGGCATGATACGCCGCTACTCTACCACTTGAGCTATCGTGACTTCGATCCACCCGGGCACTAACTTCCCATCTCAACCCCACCTTTTTAATTTTAACAATTCCATACGCTTTTTCCTTTACCTCGAGTGGAGCAACAAAATCAAAATTAGTGTTTTGCAGTCACAGGTGCTACGTTCTCATAAATACATAATTCACATGTGCATAGATATTAAATATGGTTTTTTAGTTGAGATAAAAAAGTCAGTGTCACGAGAGGGATTCGAACCCACGAACTTCCACTTGATACACCGCTACTCTACCACTTGAGCTATCGTGACTTCGATCCACCCGGACACTAACTTCCCATCTCAACCTCAACTTTTTAATTTTCCCTCCTTTTTACCATTTAAGGAATTAAATGCAGTAGTAATAAATGTATTTTTTTGTTTCAGATTGAGGTATAGATTAGTGGACGACAACGTGCCTTTGGTGCTGCCAGTCAACTATGAAATAGCCCAAGGTAATTATTAATGAAATAAATTGAATAGTTAATTGTTGTATCTATTTATTTAATAATTACTTTTATGAAATAATATGTCTTGTACTAATTTCGCTTTATCATACAAATCGTAAGGCACATTAATCAAACACAACCAGTTGAGCACTGATCATATTTCATTATACACCTGTCTATGTAATTAGAAGTGTATTAATTAAGTTCATGGCGTAATATGCGTACACGATTCATGAAGCGAATCGTGTTGATTTTGTGTTGTGGGGTGGAGCGAAATGCCGGCAGTGTTAAGGTCGCACTATTGTCTCTTTGATCTACAGCCCATCCGGAGGTGAAATGTTACAGGACATGTCACCTCATCGATGAGTCGATTCAATAAAAACTGTATTTTTTTGCGCTGGCGCAGATCTATTCGAAATGTTTTGTGATTTACGGTTTACTTATGTCTACTACAATCTCTGAAATAAATCAGCTTACCCCTACTCAAGAATACAGAGACTCAATCACGTTCTATTTATATAAGTTACAATTAATCAAGGTTTTTAGTTGAGATAAAAAAGTCAATGGCACGAGCGGGATTCGAACCCACGATCTTCGGCTTGATACGCCGCTACTCTACTACTTGAGCTATCGTGACCTCGATCCACTGAGACACTAACTTCCCATCTCAACCCCACCTTTTGAATTTTCCCTCCTTTTTGCAATTTTTCAAATGTCGTGTGATCTAGTGGCCGAGTGGATCGAAGTCACGATAGCTGAAGTGGTAGAGCAGACGCGTATTTAGCCGAAGGTCGTTCGTTCGAATACCGCTCGTGACACTGATTTTTTATCTCAACTAAAAACCTTAATTATTTGAAGTTTTTCAGTTAGTTGTGAACAGAACTAGCAAAACATTTCTGGGCTTTCTTCCACTTTCCATTTATCTTTATCCCATAAGTAAATTTTCTTCTTTTATATCTTAATGAATTTTCTTACTTTCAGCGTTTTCCGTTAGTTTTGAACATAACTGAATGGGAAGCTATTAAAAACAAAAAATCCGGTAGAATCAGGGAAAGGTTTCGTTTCCGATAAAAAAGTTTTATAAATGTGACACAGTTCGTTATTTCATAGTGGCAATGGTGATTTAGATTTCATGATAAAATTTGTCGCAAGCACATGAAATTTTGAATATATTTGTCGGATTTTATTTTTCATTATTTACAGGTATTTATTGTAGGTTGTTTTCAGTAATGAACAATGAAATGGCCACGGAGAGCTTTAGTGAAGTATACTTCATTTCAAATAATTAAATTCACTAATTTCGTGGTCCGCTTGACCAATTAATATATTACAATTATTCAAGGTTTTTAGTTGAGATAAAAAAGTCAATGGCACGAGCGGGATTCGAACCCACGATCTTCGGCTTGATACGCCGCTGCTCTACCACTTGAGCTATCGTGACCTTGATCCACTATCTTTTTTATCTCAACTAAAAACCGTGATTTGAAATGAAGTATACTTCACTAAAGCTTTCCGTGGCTATTTCATTTGTCGTCGTGAATCCAATTCGATTACACGACATTTGAAAAATGGCAAAAAGGAGGGAAAATTCAAAAGGTGCGGCTGAGATGGGACGTTGATGTCCGAGTGGATCGAGGTCACGATAGCTCAAGTGGTAGAGCAGCGGCGTATCAACCCGAAGATCGTGGGTTCGAATCCCGCTCGTGCCATTGACTTTTTATCTCAACTAAAAATCTTAATTAATTGAAAGATATTAATTGGTCAAGCGGACCACGAAATTAGTGAATGTATTTATATAAGGTTAAGCCTAACAAAACTTTCCAGACCAAATAGGAAGGTAGGAACTAACAGAAAATAACTAAATATTGAAACACTTCTGACATAAAACGCACAACGAATCTAGAATACAAGGGTGAAAACTTACTAGATTTGACGCGGTAGCCGAGAGGTCAGCCAGATAGTCGTGGGTTCAATTTCTCCGCCACTGGTCTTTTTTCACGCTCCCCTTCCTCAAAAAATACTAATAATTCATTCCATTCTCTGATTTTCTCTCTGGTTAATATTGAAAAAAAACTACTCTTAGAGAACCGGTAACTGAGAGGTCAGGCTCCCGTCTTGTAGATCCCTCAGTCATGTGCAATTTTTACCGTCGCGCCTGTCTTTTTTTCACATTCCCTTTGCCGAAAATTACAATTAATTGATTGAATTTTATATCTTTACTCTGACTAATATTGGATAAAAAAACTTACTAGTGGGGATGCCGTTGCCGAGTGTTCAGCGGGATAGATTTTCGGCTCGTAGACATCGCAGTAGTGGGTTCAAATCCGATGTCGCCCCTCTTTTCCTTGCTCACCCAACAAATTCATTGCATTATCTGATTTTCTCTCTTACTAATATTGGTAAAAAAATTTTTTTTTAAATTACTATTTGTCACCCTTGATTTTCACAAAAGCAGTTCATCCCAGAACAGAATTTAAAGTATCTTTCAATCTGGCCGATAATAACCAGTTTTGACTCGCCATGCTGGCCTATCAGTTTTGTTTCGGCATTTCGTTATCTATCACTGTTGGCTCTGTCTAATTTTCGTGAACCCGAAAATTTTTTTTAAGTCCTGATTAGATGAGTGCGTGTGTCGGCGAATTTTTTGTCAGTCGGTGATTTTGATGGATTAGACATAATTGTTTTTATTAGACCAACCGGAAGTCTTTAAGATCTTCCGCCCTTTTTCTTTTTAGCTGAGTATAATATTTTAAACAATATAGATGACTTAGAGTGTAAATTGCGTTTTTCTTATCGTTGTTTAGTATTAAACCTTCTACGTTTGTTTATTCTCAAGTTTGACATTTTTGTACGTGTAATGGTTTTCTTTGAGGCGTGTTGCGTACTTTGGCTTATGTCATTTTCTCTAAAAATCACTTACGTTCTTTGTAACCGCTTTTCATTTTTTCGTCCTGTTTTTTTGCTGTATTTGTTTTGTGTATGACATTTTCGTCAAATGGAATTATTTTGACAATCGTTGAAAGGACTGAAATAAACTTTGCTGAGTGGGAATAAACGAAAAGGGCAAAATGCGTCTAGCGCCACGATAACAGCTTTTCGTAACAATTTTCATTTTCCAACTGTGATGCAATCTTCCGACAATTATTCTTAGAAATAATAAGAGAAAATAAATCCCGATTGTACAAATAGATATTATATCAGCAAAAATTGCGTAATGGTGAACTAATAATTAGGAAGTTTACAATCACCAATAGTTTTTAAAGATTATGCTGAAATCGCCAATGTTCTTTTTAACTCAGTCTTATATTTCTTTTTGGTCATAAAAATAGAATCATAAATTGAAATGTGTGTATTATCCCCCTTGGAAACTGCTGTATAATATTGGTTAGTCGAAAAATCATAAGAATTACGTTAAGTGTTTTTTAATTGGATACTCTCGCTCCAAGTCTCTTGTAGAGAATGTTTATCATAAAGAGTAAGTGTCCAAAAGGAAACGCACTCAAACGAGTGTAAGAAAATCATTAGAGGGCAAACCTAAATGTAGGAGCCACTTGAGTCAACAACTTGCTGAAATAAGAAACGTCTTAGGGTGAAATAACCAAACAAAAAAATACTGGGCGTTGGACGACAATTCTTGCTCATATTATGTGCGTCTATGTTCTTATTTATGTTATGTTATTCTTTCTTTCTCTCTCTCTCTCTCTCTCACTCCCTCTCTCTCTCTCCCTCTCACTCCCTGTCCCTCTCACTCCCTCCCTCACCCTCTCACCCTCTCACGCTCTCCCTCTCCGTCCCTCCCCCTCGCCCTCTCTCTCTCTCACTTTCTCCCTCCCCCTCTACCCCTCCTTCTCACTCCCCTCTAACCTTCTCTCCTACAATTCCCCTTCTTCGCCCCTCCATCATCCCTCTCCCCCTCTTTCACCACTCCATCACACTCTCTCTCTCCCTCATCCCTCTCCATCTATCTCCCTCTCCCTCCCTCTCTCTCCCACTACCACTCCCTCTCACTCTCTCTCCTTCTTCCTCTCCCTCCAACACCCTTTCCCCTCCCCCTCCTTCAACCCTCACTACCCCTCCCTCTCCATCACTCTCACTCCCTCTCCCCCTCTCTCTCTCACTCTCTCTCTCTCTCTCTCATAAAAAAAAATTCTGTTAGACGATAAACCGTTAATCAAAACCCTTTTGCTAGCCGTTTTGAATGTCTATCCATTATTAAATTAATATAGATCTGAGCCCTAACGTGTTCCTTCGTGAAATAAAAATCAGAAAAAAAATAAATACTCGTTTAGCAATTATAAAAGGTTTTTCATATGTGCTCCATAGTCAGAGATCGTGCCATAATCGTATTTATTATTCTCTCTCTCTCTCTCTCTCTCTCTCTCTCCATCTCTCTCTCTCTCTCTCTCACTCTCTCTCTTTCTCTCTCTCTGATATATACTTTACTTTTGTTAAAAAATAATTTTTTTTTATCGAGAGAATAGATGGAAATTTTGACACCGTGGACAAGCATCTACTTTGGAAAATTAGCCTAATAACTTTCGGGTACTTTGGGCATCAGCTAGAACCGGCGAGAGATGGTTCCGATTTTCACCGGATATTAACTTCGTATCTTAATAGGATCGATTCGCGATATCAATTCTCACTGTTTCCATTACACGCTAAAGCGCCGTTCAATGTTGCCCTTCCTAATTCGACGATGAATAATTGATTCAATTAAACAAATTGCTCTTGCAGCTTTTCGACCAGGTGAACCGTGGATATTTCATTACATTCGTTAAGCGAAAGGTGAGATTTAAAATAATTAATCAGTTTTTTCCATTTGACAAAATTGAAGATAAATTTATCTAAAAGAAAATAATCGAGTTAGTATGTATGTAAATTACTGTCTTGATTTTGTAGAAACAAATGGTTCGCATGTACCATTAATATGATTTTAATCAAGCTTTGACAATAAAAAAACTCTTCAAAATATATAAACAAAATATTGACTTAATTTTGTCCACTTAGAAACACTAAAATTATAATACAAAGACCAAAACAGAATAATATATATAAAAATAATTTAGCATGTAATAAAACTCATTATTTGAATTAATCTTCCTCACAGTTCAAACAAGTTTAAATAATTTAAAAAACTGGTGCATAATGTTCAGTAATAACTCTATAGAATGTAATAATCAGACTTTTTTGAGAAAGGGGGTCAGGCATTTTTGACGTAACTGAACTGTTTATACGACCCCCTAGAGATACTTCTTATTCTTATAATTTTCAGAAATATGCACACTACTATTTTATGCTTAAATATCACTTGTGAGTGCGGATTATTTTCAACTGTAAATTTTTTTTTAAATTTTCAACTAACAACTTATCTAATCGATCGTTAAAATATTGGGGACCTTGGTGGCCGAGTGATTAGGGTGTCCGTCTCGTATTTGCTACGCTAGAGGTTCTGAGTTCGAATCCTATAGCTTTTTAATGGAAAATAGTTTGAAAGAAGTTTTGAAAAGTGGTTCTCGTTAAGCCCTTGTGGATGACAGAAATTACATCACATAAAACTATTACTCCATACACTATGACTTTAGGACGTTTAATTGAAAATATGCTTTGTTGAATACATATTTATCAAACTATACAAATAGACGAAATTATAAATAAATTAATCCAATCATGTATTTATTGATCATAGTGGACCGTAATAATTATTTTAATTATTTATGTACGGTGATTAGTGACCGTTAGTCGATGATTATTCGGAATCGTGAGATGCGGACTGTAGATTTCAGAAAAACATTTTCTTTATCGTGCCAACGTTTCGATCTTTATTGAGATCATCTTCAGTGCCTGGGATTTATAAACATTGTTTAAATGTAACAAATACATGCAGGATTGGAAAAAATGAATTTATACAATTTATACAATACATTTATATGCGTATACGCAGAAAACAAACACTTTGAGTTAGTATAAATACTTTGATTGAAAATAAAAAATATTTTTTGCATTGTATAAATTCACTTTTTTCCACAACCTACATTTTTTCTTAAATTTAAACATTGTATATAAATCCCAGGCCCTGAAGATGATCTCAATAAAGATCGGAACGTTGGCACGATAAAGAAAATGTTTTTCTGAAACCTGCATCACACCAGACCGCATCTCACGATTTCCGAATAATCATTAATTATTTATTCTAAACAAAGATTTTCAAACATTTTAATGGAGCTGATTTAACGTGTGATTTATGATAAAACATTTTTCTTGATCCGTTATAAAATTTAAGTCATATTTAATTTGCGCTTCAGCTGGATTTAGAATGAGTATGTAGGGTGCCATTCGAGAAAAAAATGTTTAATGTTTTTAATGTAATTGCAATGTAATATTGTAATTTTCAAAAGTAGAGCCTTTCGGAAAATAATTTAAATTTTTTTTTTCATAGTTTAATATGTTTTAAATAAATCAGGATGAAGCTAATAAATAGTCTTCCTGTATATATAATCAGGTTTCTCACGGTGTTCTGGTATTCTTTTCCTTTTAGTTACAACCAAAGTGCAAAAAGTGTCTTTTTTTTTTTTATTTCTGTTCATAAACATACAAAATAACTTGTTTACTGAAAATAAAATCTTTTATTTATATATAATAATTTGTAAACAGATTAATGAAATACAAAATAGATAAACAAATGTACTGATAAACTGGGAAAGAATTAGAGTGGGAGTAAACGATTGTGAAGGTTGATAGAAAGGAAAACTGGTACCAAATAAATATACACAGAATGTGAGAAAAAACAGAAAAGTGATTCAAGGAGAGAGAGAGTGAGTGAGAGAGCGAGAGGGAGGGAGACGCAAGAGAGTATTTTTCCGGGTTTGCTCTGTCCTGTTTTGGGGGATGACAAATGTAATTGAAGCCTCTTCGTTAACCGCTTTCCCCTTCATCAATTTGGCCTTAATANCTCTCTCTCTCTCTCTCCTCTCTCTCTCTCTCTCTCCTCTCTCTCCCCCCCTCTCTCTCTCTCTCTCTCTCTGTAAGTGCGTGGGTCTGTGTGCATATGCGTTGCGTGCGTGGTTGTGCGCGTACTTTTTTTGAATAGTTAATCGCAATAATATAAAATGAGTTTTATTTATTTTTTTGTTTAAAATACTCTGTTTGAGAAATGAACAATTTAGTCGTGAATTAATGAGTTAAATATACGATTGAACAGTTAAACGTGCATAGTTTTTTTGAGAATAACTTAAATATTTATGACATAAGAAAATTTAAATAAATCTCGCGAAAATGAATTTTCATAATTTTTATGCTGTCGTAGAGCTTAATTTAATTAATAATTCAGTTATTTACGTTTGGCTAAGGACTTCTATAAATATAAGAATACAGTTTATTCAATTCAATGAGTACATAAATATATTAGTTTTGTCGTATTCTAGAAACAAAATGTAATAAGTTATTTGTTTACCAAAAATTCGGATTATACATTTAAATACGCCAACAAAGTTCATCTTCACTTTATACAGGAGACATCTGTTTGTTTTTCGGATAATTTGCCTCGCCGGATAAATCAACGGATCCGCCCTAAATCCTTCGGCAAACCCGATAGGTAGGGATGGGAAGTTTATTCAAATATTTAACTAGTGAAAGTTTGGTTTAACCTGATAGGGGGTTTGCCTTTGTTTTTTTTAGTTTTTTTTTAAATTACGATCTGTATATATTTCAGTCTGCAATCTCACGCTGAGGCCACTTTCGTCTGGGAATTTGAGTTCTTCGGACCTGCCGGGCCCCTGTCTCCTCCGCATGTCGTCGAGCCTGTTCAACAACCGAAAGGGCATAGTGATCAGGCTTGTAAAGCTGAACGTGGCCTGTTCGAAAGGAGGGCTCGTACTTGGCGACCACGGTCGTATCTGCGGAAAACTGCAAGAGATTAAGGAAATCGACCGAGTTGCCCATTTTCCCGATGGGCTTTCCGTGATACTCGTCGAGGGCGTTACAGTATTCGAGGTATTATTGTTAAACTTAATTTTTGTTTTTATCTTTATTTACAACATTGATTTTATTAGATATCATGGCGGTGTGTGGATCACTGTTACAACGTGACTTTGACATCCAGGAACGGCAGCTTGGATCTATCGCCTACGTCGTCTCTGTCGTGCAACTACCGCCTTCATCTACCATATGGCTACAAAGCATCTATATCTTTAGGAGTTGCTAGCCTCGAACAGCCAGAACAGCTTCTTTCCCCAGTCTCATCTAAAAAAGAAGAATGCAACGGCGTCGAGTTGTTCATCGTAGATGGGTCCGCTCAGTGGTCTCACTGCTACCCAGCGCCCGATACGTCCGGTAGCACGTCTCAGACCTCAGCGTACAGAGAGATGCAGCTTTTATCCAATGGGAACTCGGTCACTCTGAGAGTTCAAGCCAAGGACGGACTTGTCGCCTATCCCTCCATTTCAATAAGGTAATTAGTTTAACATACCTAAAAAATTTGTATATAAAAATGCAGTTAAAAATCTATTGTCAAGTTGTTAAAAAATAATTTCTCTACATTGGCACAAGTACTTTTATCGTTGACAACCGAATAGCACTTCTCCGACAAGGGGCTTGAAATGTACAAGTGAACTGGGATTGCTTAAGTGACTTTTCTACCAGGAAATCTACTTTCTCTTTTAAGTTCTCTCAGCTGTTTCCAGTGATAGATAAAAATGTTTAACTAAAAGCTTTACCAAGAGTGTGCCTTCGTCTTACAGTAAAACACGAGTTCTTTTCTCGTAGTATATAACCATTGTTTTCTTTTGGCTTTTCTAAGGGCAATAAATTCGTCCTTCAAATCATAAATTAATAATAATATTTGCTTAAAAATTAAGAACGACGCATGAAAAGACTTAAAATTTTTGGATATAGTGTCTTAATTTAAAAATAAAAATAATATGAGTTCATAGGCGGGGGACCGCGGTAGCCGAGTGGTTAGCATGAGAGACTCTCACGCCGCGGTCGTGGGTTCGATTCCCACCGTCGCCTCTGGCCCTTTTTTCCCGATAACCCCCAATTTGAACACACAAAGAATTCGTACTATGGCTAATATGCAAGATCATAAGGCCAATAAAAAAAAAAAAAAAGTTAAAAAAAAAAAGAGTTCATAGTATGATATATTATTGAGACTTAATAGCAATATTTAGCGGCAGTTTTCTTAAATAGTTAAAAAAAAATTATCGGATACTTTTTGAAGATTGGAAATATGAGAAGTCTTTTCAGAGGATCTTCGGAAGAGGTCAAAACAGAGAAAACTTCCTTACGGTTTTCGCCGAGCTTTCGACAGTTTTATACTGTCATCTTCAGGGCTTAAAACTAAAATTAAAACATGAAAAAACAATAATTACAACAATAATTGAATATCTTACTTTAAAACCTTAATAGGAAATTGAACAACATGGTGTTTTGGGCACAGAAGTACATTATGTTTTTTGGGGCTCAGCATCTAAACATTAATTTAAATTGAATACATTAATAATTAAAAATTATAGCTAAAATTACAGTAAAAATAAAAATTAAAAAACGTGGTCGAGAAAGGTTACCTCATATAAGTTTAAAAAAACCAATAAAATCCTCCTTTTTTAATTTTTCAGGTACAGGTGATCACAGTACGTTTCTTAAATATTTGCCGCCCAAAGAGATTTGTTTTCTGTTGTTAGTGATTCGTCGTTAAATTGAAGCTTTTAAAAATGATAAATCTATATAGCACTGGCATTTGGAGCAATTTAAAAATACTAATACAGAATAGCTTTTATTGTACATAAAACGTGTGTTTAGTTAGTTTGAAAATTTAGTTTCGCGTTATTTCATTAGCTAAACGGTGAATATATGTTTACGGAAATTGTGTTAAAATGGAAATATCAATTTTCTTTTTAATAATATTTATTGATCTCATTCACTGAGATGTTGAGTTCTCCGTTTTCTTTGACTATGTAATTTTCAAGTGTTTCCTCGACCAATTCGAGTCCGCCCGCTTTCCAGGCGTAAGGGCCGATCGCCTTCAACACGTCCCTGAGCTGGATGATTTTCAAAAGATGCCCTCGGCACTCTTCTTTGACCCGTTTTCTCACCACATCCGGCAAATCCCTTTTTGCCCCTGAACACTCTTTTTTGATCCGCGACAGGTCGACGATTACAGGCTTCTCCCTGCGCCTTTCCAGCCAGGCAAGGACGACACAGGTCAGGAAAATAAAGGAATATATAAGAAATTGGAAATACATCACTCTAAAAACGGTTGTCTATAGGCAGTCTTTTTTTATATGGATTAAAAATAGCATGTGACATCATTTTTTATTACAGATGTGAATATACTATTTTTCGTGGTCCGCTTGACCAATTAATATCATTCAATTAACTAAAGTTTTTAGTTGAGATAAAAAAGTCAGTGTCACGAGCGGGATTCGAACCCACGACCTTCGGCTTGAATCCCCGCTACTCTACCACTTGAGCTATTGTGACTTCGATCCACTCGGACACAACTTCCCATCTCAACCCCAACTTTTGAATTTTCCCTCCTTTTTGCCATTTTTGAAATGTCGTGTAATCTATTTGATTCTCGGCGAAAAATGAAATGGCCACGGAGAGTTTTAGTAATGTATACTTCATTTTAACTTATTAACTTCACTATTTTTCGTGGTCCGCTTGACCAATTAATATCATTGAATTAATAAAGGTTTTTATTTGAGATAAAAAAGTCAGAGAGGGATTCGAACCCACGACCTTCGGCTTGATAAGCTATCGTGACTTCGACCCGCTCAGGCACTAACTTCCCATCTCCTGTGTGAATATACTTACAATTAATTACTATCAACCAAAAGATGTAATATAAAATCAGGAAAAGAACTAACTTAGTACTAATGAGTAGGAAACATATTGATATATGACCAAAGCCTAAATGACACTTTATCTTCAAATAATGACTTTAAATTTGTAAATATAATTCATATAGTAAGTAGATTAAACGTGGTTTTCTAAACAATTTAACTTGATTATTAAATATTTGTATGGAATAATCAAATTCATCGCTAAAGAAGCTGTTTTTCGTTTATTCAGTTGAGTTTCAAAATTTTGACCAAGTTAACTAGAAAAAACACATAAAAGATGTTTTATAGACATCCGAGTAAGAAACAAAAGGCTGATCATTAATAAAAATGGATGGATAGATGGAAATCATGAAAGAAAGAGAGAGATAGAGAGAAGAATGATAATGAATGAGGACGATGACATGGAGAAAGTGTAAAGGGTTAGCGAAAATTGTACAGTAAGATTAGATACTGTAAGATAAGAAATGATTGTATGTGGAATGAGATAATTGCGTCATAAGTGAATAAAAAACGACAAGGGACAATAAAGAAAAAAGGAAAGAGCGAGAGCAAGAGAGAAAGCATTCTCTCACTTTGTTCTTTTATTACATTACATTTCTTTGAACATACTTTATACACAGTTCTCTCACTGTGTTTCTCTCCTTTTCTATTCATCCCATCCACAATATTCGATACTGTTTATTAGAGTAGTAAATGGAAATATGGCTTTGAATTGTTCGTGAGCTCGTACGTGTATGCAATATTCGAATTATACAACTGTCATCTGGCAAATCAATGGAAAATGGCCAATTTGTCCATGTATTGGCATCATAAATTTTTACAATAGATGAATGTCCCATAATCCCGAATCGGTCGGCTAAACTCTCTTAATGGTCGCACCGTTACATCCGCAATAACTGGGCAAATTGGAGTAGGGGCGTGGGTAAAAACATGATGTTCTCAATTGAAATCAGAGTTTATATCGGCCATTTTTACTCGGTGGAAAGAGCGGATAACTCTTGGACGATCGGAAACGGCTTGTGAAAATTTCATATGTTGCTTTTTATCTGTCAGTTTAAAAAGATAAAACGGAGTTAAAATAAGACTTTTTTTTATAATAAATTAACCCTCTTACAATTCATTTGAATACTAGAGGCTATGTACATTATCCATCCAAATAATAATAGCAACAGGTAAAATAAATGTTTTATAAACAAAAGAAACAGAATAAAATAAAACGCCCTGCGTACACTTTATGCTTTTTATGCTAGTTTTGAACTAAATGGGAAGTTAATAAAAAACTCTTCTTTTTTATCAGTTATCTATGTTCAGTTATCCTCTGTTTTTTCTCTTATCTCGAAGATGACTCGGTGGATTTTCGTACTTTCAACGTTTTTCAATTAAATTTATTTGTTTCCGCGGTCCGCTCGACCAATTAATTAAGGTGTTTAGTTGAGATAAAAAAGTCAGTGTCACGAACGGGATTCGAACCAAAGACCTTCGGCTAAATTCGCCACTGCTCTACCACTTGAGCTATCATGACCTCGATCCACTCGGAGTGGATTTATTAACAATTTGTCAAATGTGACTCTATAATTTCAATGAGATTTTCCCAAACGAAAAATTATATTTTTCTTTTTAATTTCATAAAAACGATAAAAAGTAATGCAATCGCCGTTGGACACATTCGGCCTTAGGGTTGAAGCTAATTTCCGCTCCTTTAGGTTTAAATAAACTCAGTGTTTTTGAATTTTAAAATACTGTTATACTAAGGCTAGAAGTTGGCTTTGCCGCTCAACCCATGTAAAACTTTGGAATGGTTTTCGGTTTTAGTTCTGAAACACGGGTCGACAAGTTCTAACGCAAAAGCCGCATCTCGGTGAAAATATCGGGCTTCGACAAATTGACGTACCAAAACTTTACACTTCTTCACCGTCGGCATTGAAATTAAACGAAACAACACGAATAAAAATATGCAATTTATTAAAAGGATGAAATATTTCCTTCCATAATTGTGCCAGAAAGATTTTTCAACACAAGGGAAAACCTCAGAAATTCTGAATCGTATTGTATCGGTTGAATATTGACTTTTGATTATTCAGTCTGTCTACCTAAAATGAATTTTTATTCGACACTGATTAGATTTTTCTTTGTGCTTCAATAAAAGACAGTGATTAATGAGTTTTAGGAAACTTCCAGGCTAATGAAAGTATATAAACGAATACCAAGATATAAAACATAATTATCTTCATTGTCCTTTATTACTAAAAAATTAGTTGATATTACATTATTTTGATTATCTGATAAATAATAAATTTTATTATACTTTAAAACCAGTACATCCATAATAAAACAGTATTTTAAATACTTCAATTAATGAAGGTGTTTGGTTGAGATAAAATAGTCTGGGTTACGAACTGGATTCGAACCCACGACCTTCGGCTTGATACGCCGCTACTCTACCACTTGAGCTATCGTGACCTCGATCCACTGAGACACTAACTTCCCATCTCAACCCCACCTTTTGAAATTTCCCTCCTTTTTGCAATTTTTCAAATGTCGTGTGATCTAGTGGCCGAGTGGATCGAAGTCACGATAGCTGAAGTGGTAGAGCAGACGCGTATTT